GCGCCGCTGCCCCTGCTCGCCTATCTGCTGGTGCTGGCGGCGCCCGCCCGGGGCGCGGAGGAGTCCGTGTGGCGGTCGGAGCAAGCCATCGGAGCCATCGCGGTGAGCCGGAAGGACGGCGTGTTCGTGGCGAGCGGCAGCTGCCTGGACCAGCTGGACTACAGCCTGGAGCGCAGGCTCTCGCGCTTGTACCGGGACCAAGCGGGCAACTGCACGGAGCCCGTCTCGTTGGCGCCCCCCGAGCGGCCCCGGCCCGGGAGCAGCTTCAGCAAGCTGCTGCTGCCCTACCGCGAGGGGGAGTCCGACCCCGGAGGGCTGCTGCTCACCGGCTGGACCTTCGACAGGGGCGCCTGCGAGGTGAGGCCCCTGGGCAACCTGAGCCGCAGCTCTCTGCGCAACGGCACCGAGGTGGTGTCTTGTCACCCGCAGGGCTCGACGGCCGGCGTGGTGTACCGCGCGAACAGCAGCAATCGCTGGTACCTGGCGGTGGCCGCCACCTATGTGCTGCCGGAGCCGGAGACAGCCAACCGCTGCAACCCCGCAGCATCCGATCGCGCCACAGCCATTGCGCTCAAGAACACCGAGGGGCGCAGCCTGCCCACCGAGGAAATGGGCCGCCTCAAGCTGCGCGAGGGGGCGGGCAGCCTGCACTTCGTGGATGCCTTTCTCTGGAACGGTAGCGTCTACTTCCCCTACTACCCCTACAACTACACGAGCGGCGCCGCCACCGGCTGGCCCAGCATGGCGCGCATCGCGCAGAGCTCCGAGGTGCTGTTCCAGGGCCAGGCGGCCCTGGACTGCGGCCACGGACACCCCGACGGCCGCCGGCTGCTCCTCTCCTCTAGTCTGGTGGAGGCCCTGGACGTCTGGGCGGGCGTGTTCAGCGCGGCCACAGGAGAGGGCCAGGAGAGGCGCTCCCCCGCCACCACAGCGCTCTGCCTCTTCAGGATGAGTGAGATCCAGGCGCGCGCCAAGAGCTGCAGCTGGGACTTCGAGTTGATCCTTCCCAACTGCGTAAGTCCTGCTCCCGGGGCCAGGCTAGGAGCGCTGCAGCCCGGGAGCCACCGCCGAGGCACCTCGGGAAAGCGGGGGAGGCAGAGATCCGGGTGACATTTATCAGGTCTTAGGAGCACACCCCCTGAGACCTCAGGCTACTCTAAGGCACAGCCTGAGGTCCCCAGAGGGAGAGTGTATAAAGGGGGTGGGCAGGGTTGGAGTTGGGCTCCAAACTCTACTAACTGCATCCCACTGCTATCCTTCTCTCTCAATTGCGGACGCTTGTTTGAGCCCGAGTCTCCCCCACGCAGCCCCCTTTCCCTCCTCGCTTCACCAGACTCCTCTCTGCTGTGCAGTCGCAGCAGGCATGTGGGTTTGACTCTCTTGGTCAACACAGTTACCAAACAGTGCCCTCAGCAGAGAAGCCATTGAACCTAAAGGGCTCGCTGCCACACCCCAGCCTTTGTGCCCCCACTCAGCCCCTTTCTGCAACCCAGACGATGAGGTCTGAAGAGTTGGGAGCCTGCTCAAGCCGGGTAAATAAATGCGAGCCCGAGAAAGCCGCTCACAGCACCCCCAGCACGACCCTGCGCAAGGGGGCGGGGCTGTGGCTGGGTTGAGGGTTGCTGTGGTCTCCAGCTCCGGGAGACACTGGGGAGGCAGGAGGCGGCTTTGTGGGTAAAAAAAAGCCTCACCCTGGAGGGGAGAGCAAGGGAAAGTGTTGGGGTGCTACAGGCAGTCCCTGGGCTCCCGATTGCTGGACTACATTGCGGGGCTCATTGGCACCACCCCTGGGCTGTGCCTGAAGCAGGCAAACGAGGCAGGTTTCCCCAGGGCTCCCAGGGCGGCCACGGCTTGAATCTTGAGATTGGCAGTTCTTTGACTGGATAATAAAGCCGCAGTTCAAGAGGGTCCAGTGGATGGGGATTATGGAGCCATTGTGCACTTCTCCGGAGGCCGTTTCCCTTCCAAGGCTGCTGGCACATCGACTCCACATATGGCTCCTGAGAGGGGAGCCTGCTGAGAGCCTCCTTTATAACTGGACAGAAATCAAAGAGCAGAAATTAACGGCTACAGGTGTTGCCATTGTATGGGTATAAAATGAGTCAGAGAGAAGTCTCCACTTGGAAATGTGTGTGCGGGTGCAATTGTTGTTACCAACAGGGCACAGGGGAGCAGTGGCCCTAAGGTGTGTTAATAAGTGTCTAGAAGGACACCCCCACCCACCCGGTTCTCTGCAAAAGCACATCTTATCAAATATTAGCCCCAGTGTCCAGGAAGGATCGCTCCTTAGATCGCTCACTTGTTTCTTCCTCTCTGCCTGTCAGCTGGGACAGGCACATAACATCTTCATCATAGGGATAGTTTTTTAAAACATATAAATAGCACGCATTGCTCCCTAAATGACTCAGTCTTGCTATACATGTTATCATTTAATATTTAATAGCTCTCTTTATACACCTTTACACTCGAATGGTTCAAGTTTGGCAAAAGCTTGCCTTCATTTCTCTGTCAAAAGTCTTGAAAGTACCCCCCCCCCCAAATATTACTTGGTGTCCAGCTTTAGGTATACTTGGTCTCTGGGGTTAATGACAAGAAGACTCAGAGGCCCACAGCAGGTAATAATGGTGGAAGTCCAAGTTTTGCCATCTGACAGCTGTGTCGACATGTGGAACCAAAACATTTCTCTTGACTGCATCTACCTATTGGGTCCTGGAGGACTCGGTTTCCTTCCAAACCCAGCAGCATCCCGAATGCACTCAGAATCCACATTTTGGCTCCATCCTATGTTTCTACTTGTGCTGGGATGGGAATGGGGAGGGGCAGGGAAAATCGCAGAGCTGCTTATCCATCTTCAGGGGAGCTCCTGAGAGAGAGTTGCCCCTTGGAAATCAAGCAAGGGATAAACATATGCTGCCAAAAATCTGGAATGGGAAAAATAAATAATGAAAACAGGTCCCTTCACTGCATTTCTCACTGCTGTTATTTATCGAGAACTCCCAGTGAGCTCAGAGCTGTGTATTCTGAAAGATGGGGTCTCTACCCCCTGAGCTTGTCATCCAAGTTAAATAATATACTCGGGTTGGAACAATAGCATGTCATGGCTGCACAGGTGGGAGCTTGGAGTTTTGCTTTTTTTTTTTTTTTCTTTTTTCATTTAAGTAAATTCCTTGCTGCTAGTATGCATTTAAAAAGCCTTAATGGAATTGAATTTTAAGAGGAGTTTGAATGAAAATAAAGGTGGTAGTTTTGATGAAAGGGCTGATAGTCTTCTAACCTATTAACTAGGCAGATAAGATACTTAATTCAACAAATATTTGTTTGATACCTGCTAGCAGAAGCAATGCTCTGTGCTGGGTGCCTCCAATTTTGCCACTGAAGGGACAATAGTAGGTTACAACCCTGTTTAATGGGGTCATGGGATCCATGTGCCCTCGGTTGTCACTCAGAAGAATGATGTCATTTGGTTACATTTGTTCTGCATTTTATTTTCGGGTCTTGAATGTGTTTTTGAGAGACATGCTGAATTATAGGTGACAAAAAAAAAAAAAACAGGAGTCAAACCTGAAACACTTTAGAGGGAGCCTCCATAGATTCCAACAGTGATTCCTTTAGAGCAAACACAGTCATTTTACCAGTAATCCACAGGCAGCAAGGCACAGCAGCTGGGTTTGCTTGCCTTTGCCTCTCCTCCTAGCTGCACCTATATTTTCCATCTTCATTCAAACATGGATAGGGACAGAACTGAATGGGTTGTTTTCCTATCTCTTGATTGGTTCTCTTCTTTTTTAGGTGGAGGAGTATGGGGCACTTTACTGCTGAGAAATATCTCACACTCTTTTTATTTTTTTATTCTGAGACACAGTCTGGCTGAGTTGCCTAGGGCCTCACTACATTGCTGAGGCTGGCCTCCAACTTACAGTGCTCCTGCCTCAGCCTCCCAAGTTGCTGAAGTTGCTGGGATTACAGGAGTGCGCCACCAAGCCTGACTTGGTTCTCTTCTTATTTCCTGTCCTCCTGTTGGTTGCGTCTCCCCTTTAACCTTGACTGCTAAGGATTAATTTCCAAGGTGCTTGTGCAACAAGTTAGCGGCTTGCACACATGGACGTTTCTTATTCTATCTTGCCACCAACTTTGATTGCACTTTTACAACTACAGCAGGTTCACCACAGTCCCCAAATGTGCCAAGTCAGGTGATTCCTACAGACCCTGTAGAGACAAATACTCCTGATGACTACACCAGTGCGACCCTCAGAGAAGTGTTTGTATTCAAGTTTGTGAAGATAGATTGTTCCAAGCTATTCTGACTGCTGCTGCTCTCTGTGGGTCCTGGGGATGCTTGTGGTTTAAACATGGTGGCTACCCCTCTGTAGACACTGAGGGTGATCTGTTTTCTTGTAGTTTGGTCCTCAGGACTGACTCCTCTAGTTCATTCCAACCCTTGCCAGTGGGAGAGTTCCCCCTTCTTCCACACACATCATTCTAAAGGCTGATGTCATTTGAGTGTCATGCATACAACCACAGAGCACTCACATGCAGCCCCAGACACAGCCAGCTGCCGTGTGTAGAAGTGGTATCTCGGTTCCACCCAGCCTCGTGACCTGTGGGCCTCAAAATCCACAAACTTCCCACGATGTTGACTCCTCTTCTGCTTCTGTTATGATTCTGTTGAGCCATTTGCCGTCTGTAGACTAGATGGGGAGTTTTTACCTTCACACACACATCTGATACACAAGGATAGATTCAAAAAGGACAACTGCGACCACAGCACCCACTTAGAAAGAGGGAAAAAGCAATCATAGCTACAACGCACTGAATGGTTATTATGGCCAGGTTTTGTGCAGAGCAATTTACATGCCTTATTTTCCTGTTGATTTTCGGTCACCGTATGAGGCAAGGAGTGTAGCTATTAGGATGATTATGGATGAGAAAATTGAGACCCAGAGAGCTTGGTTAGGTTCTGTAGCTGGTAAACAGCAGAGGATTTGGAACCTGGGGGGTCTAGTTCTAGGACCTGTGCTTTTAACCACTGCCATGGGCTGTCTGTCCTCACAGACTCTGAGTTTGAGTATTGGTCTACCCTGCAGGGAGCAGGTGAGGCCCCTGTAACGGATATGATAAGACCAGCTGTTTGTGGATGTACACATAGACCACTGCCAAGGTCACCGTTTGCAGCTGTGACCACCTGAAGTTCTGGCTCTGGGAGGGTTTGTGCTTTCCCATCGGTCATCTTCTAGTCAGTGCTGGTGTTCTTTGCACTCAGTGTAAATGACCTCAGAGGGTCTTCTCTATTGAACCCCATACATAGTGTCTGGCATGGAGTCGGGGCTTAAGAAATATCTGTTGAATGTATAAGTGAAGGATCTTAGAGAAAGAGAGGTTTTCTATAGTTAGCAGCAATACCTTCCTGAGCCTGGCCACCTTTCATTTCCTTAACCCTCAACCATTGTCTTTTTTCTTAATTTCTAATGCTCCAGAGTCCTTTTCTTCCCTAGTCCTAGGGAATATGGCATCCTCTGGGATTCTGGCTCTTATATCCCTGCTCATTAGAACAGCTAGGCTGCTGGTGTTGCTAATCTGGAAGTCAGCTCTGACCACAGAAACCCAGGGTAACTGGGTTTTCAGGGGTTAATAATGGGCACAATTGTGCCTCTCAAATACGAGAGGAAAGGGCTTTATGCTATAGGGTAGAGGTTCTTAAAGTGTGGTCTCTGGACCAGCATCATGGATATCATCTAGGAATTTGCTGGAGATGTCAATTCTTGTGCCCTACGTCAGACTTACTTAGGACTCTGGGGGTAGGGAGCTTTAACAACTGTTTAAACAAACAGTTTGAACAAGATTCTCTCAATGTTTTAACAAGATTTGAATTCGTGCTCAGATTGGAGAAACACTGTGGTAAGAGAAAACCATTTTCCTTGTATTCCAAATGAGAATGGGATCCCCCTGGGATGGGGAACTTGTCCTTTTTTTTTTTTTTCCCATTGCATTTTACATAGGGCCATAAAAGGAATCCT